CGGATCCAGCTTGAGTCATTCTGAGAGAGATTTGGAGAAACTCAAACACTTCCTGGACCGGGCGCATAACGTTTTTTTCTTTGTTCATAACTTTTTTAAGTCAGTTACATAAAAAACATCGATTGGTCTAATTTGATACAAAAAAGTAAGACTGATTACCCCGAACTAACTGCTAAATGGTGATAATTCTTAAGACGGTCTTTAACATAATGGCTATGTTTATGCATCTGGCAGTGTTTATCCAGCAAACAGGCTTCTTAAATCGGCTGTTTAGTTTGGGATCGTCCCATGAAAGCGGCATGTGTCGATTCAAACCTGCGGAAAATGATGCAATAGAGAAACAGCAGGTTGATATTTGACTGAAGTCAAGCATGAGTTATTAATATTGCTCATATACATCAGTGGCGCACGCCTGAGTGGTGTTTTACACAAGTTTTTTTTTAAACATTTTTAAAAATGTAAATTAATGTCCCTGTTACACTAAATGTTGTCACATATTCCTGGTTAAATAAACATTAGGCCTAAAAAAAAGAGAGACCAAATATAATTATATTTTGTATATTTATTTTACACTATGTAATTAATGTTCTATTTATTAATTCCAAGTAAAAATCTAATCAAGTTAGCGTTTTGCGCATTTTAACATGTATTCCAAAATAATAACTAAAGGCAGTAACAATTTAAACGATATATTTTATATATGTTTTATGTTCATCAGTCATGGCGCTCGGTAAACGCTGATCATCCCACACAGTCATCATGTTTCAGGCATTTCAAGCTTGATTTTGACGTGATACAAAGCAGTGATATCTAAGTGGGTGAGTACTTACTTTTTAATTAGTCTTCCCATTAACACCATCACTTTCTTCATTCAGACCAGTTCGTGAACACGCATGAAGGCGGGACTTATCACACGAGCCAATCATATTCAATCATATCCAATCATAACCGATCATATCCAATCATAACCGATCATATCCGATCATGACCAATCATAACCGATCATATCCAATCATAACCGATCATATCCAATCATGACCAATCATAACCGATCATATCCAATCATGACCGATCATAACTGATCATATCCAATCATATCTAATAATATCCAATCATAACCGATCATATCCAATCATAACCGATCATCATATCCAATCATAACCGATCATATCCAATCATGTCCAATCATAACCGATCATTTCCAATCATAACCAATCATATCCAATCATAACCGATCATCATATCCAATCATAACCGATCATATCCAATCATATCCGATCATATCCAATCATAACCGATCATATCCAATCATAACCGATCATCATATCCAATCATAACCGATCATATCCAATCATAACCGATCATATCCAATCATAACCGATCATATCCAATCATGACCGATCATAACTGATCATATCCAATCATATCTAATCATATCCAATCATAACCGATCATATCCAATCATAACCGATCATCATATCCAATCATAACCGATCATATCCAATCATATCCAATCATAACCGATAATTTCCAATCATAACCAATCATATCCAATCATAACCGATCATCATATCCAATCATAACCGATCATATCCAATCATATCCGATCATATCCAATCATAACCGATCATATCCAATCATAACCGATCATCATATCCAATCATAACCGATCATATCCAATCATAACCGATCATATCCAATCATGATCGATCATAACTGATCATATCCAATCATATCTAATCATATCCAATCATAACCGATCATATCCAATCATAACCGATCATCATATCCAATCATAACCGATCATATCCAATCATATCCAATCATAACCGATCATTTCCAATCATAACCGATCATATCCAATCATAACCGATCATCATATCCAATCATAACCGATCATATCCAATCATATCCGATCATATCCAATCATAACCGATCATATCCAATCATAACCGATCATCATATCCAATCATAACCGATCATATCCAATCATAACCAATCATAACCGATCATATCCAATCATAACCGATCATATCCAATCATAACCGATCATATCCAATCATAACCGTTCATATCCTATCATAACTGATCACATCCAATCATAACCGATCATCATATCCAATCATAACCAATCATATCCAATCATAACCGATCACATCCAATCATAACCGATCATCATATCCAATCATAACCAATCATATCCAATCATAACCGATCATATCCAATCATAACCGAACCAGGTGAGGCACGAGGGACACGGCGTCCCGCTGTAACTTTACCTGTGGTTATAGCTGTAGGACAGTGTTTCTTTACAAAAACGAGTGATTAATACACTTTTTAATGTCACATTTCGTTTTTACTTTTGTAATATCGATTGTTTCTCGTCTATTTCTTTTTTTTTAGGAGACACTGCCTCCTCGGAGGAAACGCCAGTAATCTAATCTCACTCTTGCTGTAATCTCTTAGAATAGTGAAGTTCGCACCACAGGTGTTGTTCGCCTAACGTTAACGACAGAAGAACGATCGTTGGAATCACTTTCAGAACTGATGAATGACACTGACAGCAAATCAAAATGCTCGAGCATTGAAAGCGCGCCTAAAATAAACAGAACATTATCGTCCATTGGCGTGAACGCTAATATAGTTTGTTCTTTGTGTGAATGGGCCTTTACTGTATAGGCTATACGTTCAAAATAAGATGGATACTTTAATTAATAGATATAAATGCAAGTGCACAATCAGCAAAACCCAGGCCCCATGACCCCGTGTCCTTCAGTTTGCTAAATCAGTTTCAGTCTATTTCCAGAATAAAAGCATTGGCATTTAATTGGACATGACGTTGAAAGATGATTCATGTTTTTATAGTGTAGTAATTCCTGTGCTGATGTGCCAGTGGAGCTGGGTCTGCAGTGAGTGTAATGACCATCTGCCTCCTCTGATAACTGCAGTAAACGCTGACCTGACTCCAGCAAACGTCCTCGCACCCTCACACAACTATCCCGAAATAACCCGAGCACCAGCGGGTGTGATGAGCAGCGCTGAGATTATCCTCCGTAAATCACTGTTATTATCACAGAGCGCTTCCGCTGGGGGTTCTTGGCCTGTATAAGAGAAACAGGCCCAAACACTCGAGACTGTGTGTAAACCAGCAAAAACACTGAATATAAACATACAAAATGTACTTTAAATTGGAGTGTGAATTATTGTGACTATACAGAATGCTTTGTGATTTTATATCGTATATATGTTCAAAAGTGTTTGTACACTGTTTACAAAGCAAGATGGAAAAACAGTTTGAAGTTTCTTTGTGAATTATGATTGAACCGTGACAACAGGCTCAATATGCAATGCAGACGACAATCAAAAGGCAAAAAAAAGAAACACTAAGAATAATCCGAAACATTTTATTAAAAAAAAAAACACACACACACAATAAAGTCTGCCATGAATAATCAGCTATAGCTTAGGTTTGGCTATATACTTTGTGTGTGTGTGTGTGTGTGTGTGTGTGTGTGTGTGTGTGTGTGTGTGTGTGTGTGTGTGTGTATGTTTCTCTATCCCGGTGGGGACTTCAACCTGAATGCACACAGACTCATGGCGACTCGTGTCACTGTTGGGACCTAAATTGAGAAACACAAGCTTATAAATCATACAGAATGATTTTTTAAAAAAAATGTAAAACTGCAGAAAGTTTTGTGTGATGGGAAAGTTTAGGGGTCGGGTTAGTGGGGAGTGGGGACATACAGTTTGTACAGTATAAAAACCATTACGTCTATGGAGAGTCCCCACAAATATAGTAAACCAGACGTGTGTGTGTGTGTGTGTGTGTGTGTGTGTGTGAGATGTATCATTGTCAAAGACAATGTCTCCCTCTGCTGGTCACTCCTGAAAGTTACAGCTGTAAGTTGCCAATGATACCGAATGAGACACATTACAACATAGGGAGAAATTACACCCCCTTCAACGTCCTACGAGTAAAATAAGCAAATTAAAAATAAGTTATTACATGTATATACACTTATTTCACTACCTTTCTGGGTAGTTGCATGTTATAGCCTACTTTACGATTTTAGTGAAACAAATAGGCTATGTAATTAAATGACTAGAAAAAAACATAAAGGAAGAGTGGTACTAGTGTTCATTTTAAAGTACCTTATTGGCATACTTATGTTTACATACAATATTGCCAAATATAAAACAAATGATGACAAGAAAAGGTAGAATTAGAGTAAGGATCTAATTATTATGTTATTATAATATATTAACTATTATAAATGCTTTATTATTATTGGACACTTGATTCATAGCATGTTTTATATACGTTAGAGTAGAATAACATGGCTATGTATCATGCTTTTTAATCCTATGATTTATTTTAAATAACCTAAAAACATCCATTTCCAATCCACCCCTTCTCATACATGTTATTAATATGTTATTAAACATATTACATGTATTCACAATCATCTTTAATGTAATTACAAATTATGTGTATGCTATGCTAGTACACAGGCTAACTAATACTGACATTAATGTGCATTATAACGTAGCTCAAACAGCATTTATCACATAACACGATTTTGTAGGAATTGTAAACAGGCGCTAAAGAGAGTGCCTAATAAAAGTAGTTTGAGCCAATGGGATCGCTTGGGGTCCTAATGGAGGACCCGACTCGTCACCACAACTCTTAGCCAATCAAAACGAAGAAACGCTGTTTCTACCCTACCGTAGAAATAGAATAAGAGGCTAGAACGGAAATAAATGCTAAAGTGGGCGGGGGTTAGAGCGGCCCGGATATTACCTCTACCTAAATATTATATATAATGCAAGAATCGATATTGTTTTTTTTCATGAAAGAATTCTTCTAACGACCTGACTCCTGTTTACGCAAAACATCTAATATTTGAATGTGGCTCAATGGAGGATTCGCTTCTGGGCCACCGAGCGCCCCCTGCAGGAACAACAGTGGTACGTCTCATTTAGAATCATTTGGGGCCCAGTGGTTTCTATGCTTCTATGCAGGTAACCAGGAAGTGAACCACTGAAGCTCCTCCTCCCACGTGTATCCGCAGGAACCGGCGGCGGCGTGACGCGTGTGGAACAGACAGACCGACCGACCAAAACCGGAGGGAGAGAGTCAGGTATTTTTAATGATCAGATATCTAACATAAAGGTTTATATGGGTTTTTAAATAGGATATTGAGTACTTTGACGGTGTACTTCGACGTTTACCGCATTTATGTAGGACTCAAATGTACTTCAAACAATAGGATAACACCTCCGGCCGTTACACGTTCGGAAATCAGAGTAATACCATGGTACTTTGTTGTAGTTTTTGTTGGTGCGTCCTTGGAGAGTGTCGAAGTCACCGATCATCAGGCGCTCGTGTGGACGCACTCATCCGGGCAGGACACACAGACGCACGCGCGCGCGCACACACACTCACACACACGGGTCAGTCCCGGTTTTAACGGGAGTTTCTTTCCGCTGTTGCAGGACTGAAGATGGCAGATGATCCGAACGCGGCGGACAGAAATGTTGAGATCTGGAAGATCAAGAAACTCATCAAGAGTCTGGAAGCGGCGAGAGGGTGAGAGAGTTCGTGTAGAAGTGTGTGTTTGACCGTGTTTTGGAGAGACACAGGATAATTATGTGTCTTAAAAGTTGTTTTTTAATGTGTGTTAGTTCGGTGGTTTACATCTGGACTGGCAACTGAAAGGCTGAAGATTCAAACCACCACATTAGATCATTCATTAACGTTATCTGTGCTACCATATGAATGCATATCAAACACACTTCATACAGTAGTCAACACTTGAAGTGGATCAAAACCTTTCATCAAAGTTTTACATGAATTTTGATCAAAACTTTGATGAACTTTTTTGATCAACTTCAAATATTGACTACTGTGTGTGTGTATATATATATATATATATATATATATATATATATATATATATATATTTATTTATATAATATTCATGCGTTTACATATCTTTGGTGAATAAAAAGTTAAAAATGAACAGCATTAATTTAAAATAGAAATCTTCTGTAACAATATACACTAGTACCGTTCAAAAGTTTGGGGTCTGTAGTTTTTTCTTTCTTTTCTAAAAAATAAATGAATACTTCTATTCAGCAAGGATGTGTTAAATTGCTAAAAAAAATGTAGTAAAGATTTGTATTGTTAGAAAAGATTTCTATTTTTAATAAATGCTGTTCTTTTTTAACTTTAAAAGTATATTAAAAATAGGAAATTATTTTGAATTGTAATACTATTTCACAATAATACTATTTTTTATTTATTTATTTTTGATCAAATGCAGGCTTAATGAGCATAAGAGACTACTTTCAAAACATTAAAAATAGTAATATTTTTACTTGGTACTGCTATATATATTGAATGACATGTACATATAATATATGTATATGTCACTCATGTCTGAAGCACAAACGCTGCTGCAGAACAACACACACACACACACACACACACACACACGCAGGTTTACTTGGATATCTAAATGGGGACATTCCATAGACGTAATGTTTTTTATACTGTATATATATTCTCACCTTACACCAACCTTTCCCCTAAACCTTCCCGTCAAACAAAACTGTATGCATTTTTATATTTATTTTTGTACCAGATTTACAAATGAGGACGTCCCTAAAGGGAGGATTTAGGAGATTTTTGTCAGGTTTTGGTCATTTCTGCTTACAAATTTGTCCCCAAAATATAGTTTTATACACACACACACAGAGAGAGAGAGAGTTCAATTGGGTTCCTATTCCCTAACATTTAAGTTTGAGCAATAGTAATGTTGATTCCTGGCGTCGTAAAACCGCTAATGTCTAGTTCCTCGAGCTGCAGGTCTGGGCAGCTCTCATGAGACTGTCTGATACGATCTGTGTGTGCTTACGTTTTGAATCTCAGTGAGTTTCAAACAGGTGTGTTTAGTTAGGACCTCCTAATAACCATAATTACTCATTAAACAGTGCACTCATTATAAGTTCAGATAGGAGACTTATTCAAGGACACAAGTGTTATTGTTCATGATCAGCTTGTGCTGGATTTAATCCTACAACTGACCCTTCTGTCAGCCAGGGGTTTTAAAATCGAGTTGGAGAGGAAGGGAATGCTTGTTTTCTACACTTCATTCACCTGTCGTGTGTTAGGATGCAGGTAATACCTCTGTGAGCTTTATATCAAGGGTGAAGCTTGTGTACATTGGTCTATTTGAAGAAGCACTACATGTGTTACAGAGCGTGTAAATGCGTCATTGGCATGAACGTTTGGCACTCATGCTTTCATTATGACAGGTAGTTGAGCTTCACAACAATACAGACCTTCATTCAAGGGTAAATTCTGTGTGTGTGTGTGTGTGTGTGTGTGCAGGATGGTAGTAATTCATGCTCTCATGCACAAATGAATTATGTCGAATCCCACATCAGAACCTGAAACTCTTTGTTTTCCATGCGTGAGTGCCGCTGACCTTCATGCCACGTGTGTGTGTGTGTGTGTAAATAAACTGAACTGCGTAAATAAACTGAACTCTCTGTGTTTTGACCCTGATTCCTCCTCAGATCTCAGTGTGGACTGTAAAAAATGAATGTTCTCTGTTTTAGCAGCGGTTTATGTGTGTGTGTTTGCGTAAGAGAACTCTAGAAATGCCACTTTTGTCGGCTGACAATACTGAGGCCTTTGACCTCTTTGTGTCTCTGACACTCTTTGGCTCACAAAAGCTGATCCATAACATATAGAGAAGGCAATCCCAGAATGCATCGTGATGGAAAAAGCCATCCAAGATAGCAAACAAACTGATAAATGTTACACTTAATACCGAAATGTAATGATTAAAACCCGATATTTCTGTGTGATATGTGCGGTTATGTTATTTATAATGTCAAACTGTTTTCATGAGAGCAAAGTGAATAACAAAAGTCATACAGTTAACAAAAAACTATAAGACATTTAAGATTAATGCAAGAAAAAATTCTAAAATGCACGCAGTTACATTTCATATAACTTATTTTTGTAGCATTCCTCCAATTCAATCTGTCACTTGTATTTAATATAAGAGTTTATTACTGTGCGAGGGTGGAATCTGACGCTCTGAAATATTCAAATTGAGAGTCTCTTTTGCGTTAATGCATATTAAATATTGCTGACTATGTAGTTTCTGAAATGCACTTTCTGTAAAGCTGCTTTGAAACAATATGTATTGTGAAAAGCGCTATACAAATAAATTTGAATTGTGAAAAGCGCTATACAAATAAATTTGAATTGAATATGTAGTGATCTAGGTTACTCTTCAGTTAAGATGCTGCCTTAGCCTGTAACTCTGTCCTGCTGGCGGGCTTATTTATTTCATTTTTTCCCTGTCACATATTTTAGTAATCATCATTAATTAGGCATCATTTAAAAGCTTAAACAACTTTGAAAAAACGTTTTCAAATTGGACATTGTGTTACCATTGACACAACTTTACACCACTTAGCAGGCTTACATTTTTGTGATATCAATTTCAAATTTGGAACACAACTTGGTTCGATTTTCCAGCAAATTATTTTGTGAAATACAGATTTGGTATAAAGTAGGGCTGTCAAACGATTAATCACGATTAATCGCATCCAAAATAAAAATTTGTGTTTACATAATATATGTGCGTGTACTGTGTATAATTATTTTGTATGTAAATACGCATATATATATTTAAGAAAAATGTGTTATTTATATATAAAATGTTTATATTTATATAAAATATACATTATATATATAGGCTACATTCAGTCTATATACAGTATATACATGCAAATATTTCTTAAATACACATGCATGTGTGGGTATTTATGTATTAAAAATAATTATACACAGTACACACACATATATTATGTAAACACAAACTTTTATTTTGGATGCGATTAATCGTTTGACAGCCCTAAAAGTAAACATTTTGTTCAGTACATTGCTGTACAGTTAAATTAATCTTCTATAGCTTTTTATACTTTCATTATTTGAAGCTGCTTTCACTTCTGCAATAGACTGCTGAGTGTCTTCTTTTAGCAGAGACTTTAGCTCTGTATTCCAAAGCATTCATGAACTACAAGCATTTGTAGTTTAAAAAGGGGGCATATCACGGGTTAAAATGCTGCTTCTGAGGTCACGAGTAAACCTCTGGACGGCTCACTACATCTTGGAATTAAGACACTGTTCTCTGTAAATGATTGAATTGACCGTGATATGTCAGTTTGATGGTTGTTTAGAGCTGAATAACATGGCTGTTTGTGTTTCTCTCTGTCAGTAATGGGACCAGCATGATCTCGCTCATCATTCCTCCTAAAGATCAGATCTCCAGGGTGTCCAAGATGTTGGCGGATGAGTTCGGGACAGCGTCAAACATCAAGAGTCGAGTGAACCGACTGTCAGTGTTGGGAGCCATTACCTCAGTCCAGCAGAGACTCAAACTCTACAACAAAGGTGTGTGTGTGTGTGTGTGTATGTTTCTCTATAAACCTGAATGCACACAGACACATGGGGACTCGTGTCACTGTGGGGACCTAAATTAAGTTTTGTGTGATGGGTAGGTTTAGTGTAAGGCCATCCTTAAAAATATTTTGGTTTGCAGTAACAGCAAAAAAAAAAAAAAAAAAGGGTCGGTAGGTAGGTCTATATATTTTTTTTTCAAGATTCAATGTAAAAAAAAAAAGGATAATTTTGGTCATGGTGATTAGGTCGGTATGAATTTAAACAAATTTGCATATCGTGACGTCACTGACTGGGTCTTCAACCCATGCCTTCGGGCGCACCATTGCGAACCTCATTCTGATACAGGTTATAGACCACAAACAATTTGAAATCTTTGTAAAAAAAAAAACATATTTATTGCATTAATTCCAGCTGCATTCATTTGAAAAAAAATAGGCAGAATCAAAAAAAAAAAAAGGAGCCACTAGATTTCAATGAAAGTGGATTTTCAGAGGGAAACAAATACATTAAAATGACTAATCTCACCAGCGCTGCGCCGACCAATAAAACAGCGCGTTTGGCACCATTCGTTTACATTTGACCCATACCATTACAAGCCCCCTTTCTGGTCTAGGGGCAGGTAAGGAGGGTAACAAAAAGTTGCAGGGAGAGAGTGAGAGATTTGACCCATAAACATCTGCTATTATTAGCGGAAATCAGTGTGGTCAAATAGCTAGGCGCATTGTAGGAAACTATAGGCCGATTAAGTAGTCCTGACATATTATGGAATGGTCGATTTTCTTTTGTGCAATTTAGTACATTTCGGTATGGGATGTGCTGTTTTATTGGTCAGCGCGGCGCTGGTGAGATTAGTTTGCGCCGCTCTGACCATTGGCTGGCGCAAGCAAACACTTCTCTCTGCGCTGTCGAGTCTGTCGCGACTCGGTCCATTGAGCCACGCAGATTACAAGTCAGCGCAGCGCGAACTCTGTAACACACCGCGCCGTTTCGTCCCCCTTTCGGTGTGTTTGGCTTCCCACACTTATGTGTGTTTGTTTGTCAGAGCCTGCAGTTGCTGTGTGACGCGCGTTCGCGGTGGGCATATCGTGACGAGCTGGACGCGCTCAGAGAAAAGGCCGTTAACATCGATTCCCTATTTGACCATTAAGAATTTCGAATAATGAGCGACTAAATGTAGGCTCACACAGACGTATTTCACAAGCAGCCGCGCCGCAGCCATCATCACCGAGCGCAAACCATTGACAGTGAATGAAACGAAGCGAACGCACAGGCCATAGTGTGACATGTGTAAACCAATGGTGTAAACATAATAATCATAGATGACCCCACGGGTTTTTATTTAAAAGAAAGAACGTAGCCTACGCAATTTATATTCACAATACTTACTATAATAAATGTATATTATTTTATTGCATTTGTATTAGTTGTTTGAAGAGTAAAAAAAAAATCGGTCGGTCTTAATGCAAGTTTACAACCGGCAAGTCGGTCGGACTAAAAGGGAAAATAAATAAATAATTGGGTCGGTCCTAATTTGACAGGGTCGCTCGGGTTACGGCAAACAAGAATATTTTTAAGGATGGCCTAAAGGGACAGAATACACAGTTTGGACAGTATAAAAACCATTACGTCTATGGAGAGTCCCCACAAAGATAGCGAACTTGTGTGTGAGAGAGTGTGTTCTTTTTAATCACAGTCAAACACCTGCATTTTTAAAGAGGAAAAGCCTGTGTTGTTCTGACCGTTCGCGTATCGCTGAGAGAGTTATTGAGTTGATCATATGAGAACAGGTTTGATAGACTCAAGAGTGTATGAAACCCTAACATTGTGCTTTCTAAGAAAAATAAGTGCTAAGTGCATACTTGACATATTTATGATGGGAAATTGGTGCAGTTTTGTTAGAGGCTCTGCTAGCTGGAAGAGTTACTGGTTAAAAGGTTTGTTTTGATCATAAGGTGGAATATAAAGTTAACTTGACCCTTCAAATTGAAAATAATTTTTATAAGGCACATTCATGATCTTATTGTGCACAATTCATCTGTGCATGTCATTCCAAAGCAAAAAATTCACACTGTACGATTTGGCCGTCTGAGACAAATTTAGGAAATCCTTAAAGATTCCTCTGATTCTAGGTTGAGATCTGAAGTATTTTGATCGTTAGTTCGGCTTTAGTGATATTTATTTAAAGTCCCTGTAAAGGCAATTTCAAAAAAAAATTCTAAACACATTATAAATGTTAGAAATGTATTGCTAAAACATATTACAAAGACTGTGAACTGTGAAGTACTGAATTGTGGAGTTAGATCGTTATACAGTTTTTCACCATTGCTATTTTCTGGATTTTCTGGGCGGGGCTAAAACAGGGCTCGATGACGCACTGGAGCCCTTGAGCTCCTGGACACGCCCCTACTGGATGACGCACTGGAGCCCCTGAGGCTGGCCGCTCCTAACAATATAGAGCACATTCACATCAGTTTGCCGCTCAATCGCGAGTTACTGTCAGTATTATTATTAGTAACACAGCCTACAGATTGCTAGCTACTAGCTATGCCTTCGTCACGGAAATGCGTTGCCTACTATCTGGATGCGATCACCGGATCACGTACAAAACAGATCAGTGTCCTTGTTTAAATTTCCGAAAAACGATTACATCAAGAAGTGGATTAATTTTGTGAAGAGCCACCTTGATGGAGAGCTGAGGATCACCGCCAAAACCCGCCTCTGTAAGTGATCATTTTACACGGGATAGTTTTATAAACTTTCGTCGGAGATAACTGTCTGGGATTCACTGATAATCCGCAGTTACTGGTGAATGGGGCCGAACCGACTCCCGCCTCAGCCTTCATCCTCCCGTCGCGCCGACAACTGGTGCCATTCGGCAGTGCGTGCCCACCGTGCGAGCATCCATTCCGGCTGTAGAGTTGAGTGTGGCGAGTCGACGACGGCAGCTTTCCCGCGAGTGGGCGTGGTTTCAGCGCAGCCAGCGGACACGCCCCCAGCGTTTGAGAGCAGAGATTACTGCTCATTTTTTCAAGATTTTGATAGCTTATTTTATGTACTTGCTGGCTTTTTTTTATCATTCAAATTTGGCTGGGTGGCTAATAACACATTTTTCTGTGGTGTGACAAACTCAAAACACATACTTAATTTTGACTTTACAGGGACTTTAAAATGTAGTTTGTTTTAGGGCACATACTGTATATGGGAAATGAACATTAATCAATAGGCAATTCAGTCATTATTTTCTGTTACTGTTCATGTTGCCTTTATGAAATCTGGCCAGTTAGTGATGCACTGAAATTTTGTTGACCGAAAATCAGCCAGAAATTAAACGGGCCGAAAAACTAATTTTAGAGAGCATTTTGCTTAATATATGCACTATTAATATATATATATTCTTTATATATTTCTACTTAACCAGTCAATTGCTTAAATAAATCTGTCATTAAAACAAATGTTTATTACAGCCACCGTTTAAGGCAAGGCAAGTTTATTTATATAGCACATTTCATACACAATGGTAATTCAAAGTGCTTTACATAGGAGGAAAACGAATTTGAATTTGAGTAGAAATATAATTAACGAATTTGAGTAGAAATATAATTATATAATTAAGAAGTTGTAATAAAACTTCCTTGCGTAGAATTAAAATGTTTATATACAATTCAGTTTTTTGTTTAGAGTTGATTGGTAAATACTAGGGATGTCCCGATCCGATACTCAGGATCGGTATCGCTCCGATACTGCCATTTTTGCGGGATCGGGTATCAATCTGACATCGATCAGACGAGGCCGATCCAAATCCGATATTGTGGGTATACTATTATGTGTTATTGTTAAGCCCCACAAAATGCACAAAAACATTCTAAAGTACCATAACGTTTTCGTGCACTCTATTATAAGTGTTCTGAAGCTATTATGTGAGATATAAATTAATATTTAAGTAATTAAATTCAAGATCACGTAAATTTTTCCCTCTCGCGGCTGTCAGTCATTCTCCATTCAGCATTCAAACAGCGCGTCGCGTTCGGTTGCAGTCAATGATGAAACTATCTTCAAGATGATTCAATGTTAATACTATTATACTTGATCTGTAAGATAAAGGTCTATGTTTTCGCATAAAACAACTTTATCTTGCTGGACTTTATTGCTGTAACTCAATCGTGTTACTCTCTACCGGGTGTCGGACGCTGTCAGTTTGATCACAACACTAGAGTCAGAGCACTATAATTGTTCTTCACGCGCACAGTAACTGAAATTTAAAACTGTTAAAAGAAAAGGCTCAATAAACGATTGCATAGATAGATACTGTATAATACACTGTCCATCAATATGTATCTCCGTTGTGCTTTGAACTTTTCAAAGCGGACTCGACGCGCTGCGTGCTGGAACTCCACGTGGCTTCAAGCGCATCATTCTCCGCTCGGGATGCGCATAAGCGCTTTGTGCCGCACTGTATTGGAGCCTTTCATATCATAATGCATTGACGCAATTAAAGCTTATTAACATTAATAATTATTAATGTTGCTGCCTCATTAAATAGCTGTGCAATACACTTAAAACATGTCTCAATTTTATAGCAGATTTAGCTATATCTAAAATAATTATCTTTTTCATTTTTGTTATCTTGTTTTTCATGAATGTATTTTACAACAATAAAAAGAGCAATGTGTATTATCCACTAATCTAGTTTATAATAGCATTTTTGTCATAGATTATGATCATATATTTTGGGGATTTGTTGTTTATCTTTATAATGAAGCTGTCTGTATTAAGTAGATTGTGTTTAACACACACAAGAGTGATAATCAGTTTAAAACACAGTTATAGAAATTCTAATTGATTTAAAAAACAAAAACTGTACTGGTATTTACAATGTAGAATGCTGCGGTTTAAATTGTTTTAACTTTAAACCTGTTGGTAGCTAGCTAGCTTTAAGTACTGAAGTACCTGTATTTTCTTTCATTTATATATTTCTTTATTTTTTTGTAGTGTTTGAATAAAGGGTGGCAATCTTTCATAATCAACTGTTGTTGTGGACTATATAGGAGGTATATTTTAGGTGGCTAATTGAGAAAATTGCTATATTTTTTATTAGTTTAAGAATAAAATAAAAATATCGGATTAATATCGGTATCGGCAAAAGCCAAAGCTGCGGCATCGGTATCGGTATCGGAAGTGAAAAAGTGGTATCGGGACATCCCTAGTAAATACATTTTTATTTTTAGATTTTCAGCCAAGTGAAAATTTGCGGTTTCAGTGTTTTGGAAAAAAGATATATATTTCCAATAGTTCACACAGTAGTTTAATGTCAGACAGTTAAGACAGCAATGGCAAGTAATATTAGATTTGAGAAAAATACATCAATTCATGTTTTTTTTTTTTTTTAATCTTCTGGTTAACCCAGAAATGTGTGTTAGTACAGAAATAAAATGGGCTGCGAATGCAATTTCATACAAATTTTGTTCACCAACCACAGCCAGAGTCCAGCCAGTGTCAGACAACATAACACGCATGACATCTTCATCTGGTATTGATGGTTTCGGTGTGTTTGGCGCCTCTTGTCTCCTGCAGTGCCCCATAATGGTCTGGTGGTGTACTGCGGCACCATAGTGACGGATGAAGGCAAAGAGAAGAAAGTGAACATCGACTTTGAGCCGTTCAAACCCATCAACACCTCCCTGTACCTCTGTGACAACAAGTTCCACACGGAGGTAAAGTCCCAGTCCACATGAAGCGTTTCCTGAAGCTCATTGTGTTGGAGATGCTGTATAATCTTCTGTGTTTCTCTAGGCTCTGACGGCGTTATTGTCGGATGACAGTAAGTTTGGGTTCATAGTCATTGATGGTAGTGGAGCTCTGTTCGGCACTCTACAGGGAAACACCAGAGACGTGCTGCACAAGTTTACTGTGGACCTTCCTAAAAAACACGGTAATCATGCCTAGACACTTAACCTTGATGTTTTCTAGCACTATATTCACATTATCTGTAAGATTCGCCAATATAAAAACAAGATCATTTAAATGCACTTTGTACTTATTTAGCCATTAAGTTCCTAAAGATTGTTTCATGATCCGTTCTCGTCGTCTCCAGACCCATGACTAAGTTCGTAGACATTTTAATAGCGTCTCTCAGTTAACCTGTTAACCGTCACCAGTGCGTGGGCGCTCTGAAGCGTTTTTTTTTTAAATAGTTCAAAGTTACTATCATATTTAATGTGATTAACTTGACAAACTATACATCATTAAAACGATATAAGACTCAAGTTTCAGTATTTGACCACTATTGTATTCTGTGAAACTTATAGTGACAGTTATGTCTTAATTTGTGTCAGGAGTTATGAAATACAAAAATGAGTCGTTACCTTTAATATGAATTATGAGCGTCAGCTGCTCTCATTCAGAAAAAAACTCCCGTGCGATCGTCATGACAGCGATTCACAAAACAACGTCCCTCAGGGCTTTTAGCTCAAACATGTGCAGATTTGGAGAAATATTGATAGATTCTCATAGGTTTACATCAGACTTCTATAGACAGGAATAATATTTATTGAATTTATACCCAAATGCGTCGATGTAATCATTTTGAGCGCTGTATACTCTGATGTACAGTTGTGTTATCCATTCATACTGAAGTCTGAGGGCGCTGTTTGCACAGTAAAGTCCATATATGGATCACATGAAGAAGAGCCATAATCATGTGACATTCAGGAAGTCCTGACACATAAACAAAGCTATCCGAGATCGCTGTAAAGTGCAGATAAAGATGTTTTGAAGACAATAAACATGATTGCAATGATATTTGATTTACCTGTGTTCTTCGAGTCATGTCAGGTATTTTCATAATAATAGATTATATGTATAATGTAATGCTAATCGAGATAGACTTTCAAATTGTGCAGAATACAATAAAATAATATATTTTCTATCTGATTTTTTTATCTGAAGCCAAATCAGATTACAGAAAGTTATTTAAAACACTCGACTTGCGCTATAAAGTAAGTTGGAGCACAAACATAGTTTTATTCTCATAAATTGTCGTGTATTGATGGTGTGCTAAGCTAACATGCTAGCTAGTACTGAGCACCTGCTACCTAACTTCGATGTAATTTTTATGATTTTTTTTCTAAATAAGAATGCTTACTGAAATGTTTCGTTTTTCAAAAAGGCCATTTGATACAGTTTCACTGTGAAGTGAGAACTTTTATAAAATAAATGAGGGATTGAAACAGTGTGAATTGCTAGTCGTTAGTGATTATAATGCAGACAAAAGAAAAGCATATTTAGAGCAATAAACAGGCTGGAGAGGTGTGAATATGTGCAGGGGAGCCTGAGACTGAATGGGACTCGTTTTTGCATCACAAAACAATAGAGGCAATAGACTGAATAGATGCTTATAAGATGACAATAAACACCAGTCTAATCAAAATAAAGTCATATGACATGATCTTGAAAAACATTGAACTAAATACAGAGTTTTAGACTTATCATCTTCAGATTTTAAATATAACATGGTTAGACATGTGGCTTTAGCTGCAGTGCATTTCTAGATTGCTACAATGCCAACTTCAATTTTATTTTCATGAAGATGTTTCATAAAAATAAATGTATAATAACTTTACAAAACTTTGAAGCTATTTATAACTATTTTTTTTCATTATGACAATAATTAATTCTACATTTACAATAAACTTCCAGGTGTCAGCTTTCAAATGAGATCTTACTTGTGCTTTTAGTACAAAGGGTTCATGAACTGTATCTGTTTCAGTTTGGGAATGCCATATCTGGGGATTTTTCAAAAATGGGCTTGAAGCTTAACAGGTTAAAGGGATAGTTCAGTTTGAAATACATTTTGGTATGTTTTAGCTTACCTCAAGGGCATCCAAGATGTAGGTGTCTTTATTTTCGCAGTAGTTTCAATTTTGATATTTTTAGGTCAAACCGTTCTTGTCTGTCAGTCATATAATGCAGGTCTATGGTCACCACCTCAAAGAGCATGCACAGAGAAGTCCAAATTAAACATGATTTAATGACTCGTAAATGTAAGTACACATTGATGGCCTAAGACACGAAACGAGCGGTTTGTGTGAGAAAACGAACAGTATTTATATCGTTTTTACCTCTTGTAAACACAGCCAGGTCCAAGTGATCTGAGGGCGCGGGCACTTCGGTCTGTGCGTTACAAGAGGTAAAAACGATATAAATACTGTTCGTTTTCTCACACAAACCGCTCGTTTCGTGTCTTAGGCCATCAATGTGTACTTACATTACGAGTCATTAAATCATGTTTAATTTGGACTTCTCTGTGCATGCTCTTTGAGGTGGTGACCATAGACCTGCATTATATGACTGACAGACAAGAACGGTTTGACCTAAAAATATCAAAATTGAAACTACTGCGGAAACAAAGACACCTACATCTTGGATGCCCTTGAGGTAAGCTAAAACATATCAAAAATTAATTTCAAAGTGAACTATCCCTTTAAACATCAGCAGATAAATCCGTGTTCAAACTGATAAAGATGATTCATTTGCGTTATCACTCATTTTTATTTTAGAAAATGTTTTCGTAAAAATGCCTGTAGGAAAATATTGCTGGCTATTACGCCCGTTTCACACATACTCCGTTTGCAGTGCGTATGCGGTGCGTATTTTTTTCCGTACCCATGTTAACAGGTTAGAGCTTTCACACTGCACGCGGATGCGGTCCGTCGATCCGTTCCAGTTGCGGTGCGTATACAGCAGTGCAGAGATCGTTTACGCACCGAGTCTATTTTTGCTGTGCTGCAAACGATGAATTAAAGTGACAGCGCACGGTTCGTGGTCAAAATGAACACAGACTGACCTGAATATGTAGTAATTTCACCATAAATGCATTTAATTCAATAAAATGTAGTAATCTCACCATAAATGTATTTAATTAAATACTACCTTTTTCACAGTCATCTTTTTACTTTAAGACCGGGGTAAAGCAAAGAAAGCTACAATTTACTTCAACAAGGCCACATAATGAACGACACTCGTCTCATTCGTTGAGGTGGAAAAACAAGTTATTTGTGACATGCAAGATTTATTGTATACAGATTTGAATTATGCAAAAGAAAAGGTATGAGTCTGCTGTTTTTGTCAATTTTAAGTTTTAATTTAAAATGTTTGCGATTTTAATATAAGTACATGGTTAAATATGTTACCACTTGCTTGAGCAACTTAATATATAATCTAGGCCTATATAAAAGTAATGCATTGAACGTTGTTTAAATTGTGTTTTAAACTTGAATAGGCCTACAAAGAGAATTGCACTGGAGGCAAACACTTTTGCTGCTGATAACTTGATTTGATTGATGATTTTTTGAAATACAAAAAGTGAGTAAATGTGTTTGTGGTACAGCCGCGGATCAGTTGCGCACTGCAAACGCACGCAGCATATGTGAAAGCACTATAGCGCGTGCTGCTCCTGTACCGCATATGCACCGCAACACGCACCGCATACGCACTGCACACGGAGTATGTGTGAAACGGGCGTTAGAGTTACAAGTCGAAATGATTAAGTATTTTTCTTTTATGTGTTTATTTAGTGGAAAATGTGCCTGATTTTTCGGAAACAAGATTTGGCCATTTGTTTTACTTTTTGCATTTCACATTTTAAATCTTGTTTGTTTCAAATTAATTCCCTTTTAATTTTAGAATAAATGCATAATTATTACAACTTATTTTTTTAGCAATTTTGTCCAGTTACAGTGTCATCTTCACTCTAGTCTTCTGCTCTTGAATGTTATTTAATACAATGAACACATTCAAGATACAGAGTTTACTAATATCAGCACAATAAGCTTTTTATTGCCTTTCCTTAAACAGCATTTTTATCGGCAATATCCAATATTGATCAACCTTTAATTCGTATGTAATGATATGTTAGTACATAAACCAATTTAAATTCATATGTATATATTGAATAAATATTTCTTCAGTATTTTAAACGTGCAGTTGAATGTGTGCCTGTTTATTTGAGTAAACGAATCTGAGATGCATGGTTTATTTTGAGGTTGTTTGGTTTTGTTCCATATGGACGTATAGTATTAATTTTATTTGTTCAGATCTTAACATTTTTTAAAGAGTAGAATGAAGATGACCAGTTCTCACATGTGAGACACTAAAGTAGATGTTTCACTAGTTTGTTAAACTTCAAGGCATAGTTCACCCAAAAAATCAAGTTATTTCATAATTTCCTCACTCTCGTCATTTCCTCAAACATGCAAGACTTCCGTTAATCTTCGAAACACAAATTAAATCTTTTTAATGAAATCTGAGAGATTTCTGTCCCTGTTTTGACGGGTTATTCACTCAAAAGACACTTCAAAATGTTCATAAAGAGATTCATAAAATAAATCCATATAAATCATTGTGACACAATAATGAACCTCATTGGTTCTCTTGCTTGAGATTGCGTGACCAAATTTGAATGTTGTAAACATTGTTTGCTGCTCAAACAAAAGCCTAAATTAAATTTGTTCATTATATAAAGCTATTGCATCTCATCAGAAGACTTTAATTAAACTGCTCAATTCATATGATTTTATTTGACCATCTCTTTATGAAAGTTTTGACAGTCAGAGTCTCTCACAGAAAAACTCTCTCAGATTTCATTAAAAAAAAAAATCTTCATTTGTGTTCTGAAGATGAACGAAAGTCTTGCAGGTTTGGAAAAACATGAGGGTGATTAACTAATGACTTTAATGGCTGAACTATCCCTTTAAATGGTGCATATATAAACATATATATAATCCACTGTGTCTCAGGAAGAGGAGGTCAGTCCGCGCTGCGTTTCGCTCGGTTAAGGATGGAGAAGAGACACAATTACGTGAGGAAAGTGGCAGAGACGGCCGTGCAGCTCTTCGTGTCCAACGATAAAGTCAACGTAGCCGGAATGGTTCTGGCCGGATCCGCTGACTTTAAAACCGAGCTCAGCCAATCGGACATGTTCGACCCGGTAAGAAGAAAGTGTGTTGGTTGCCTCTGATTTGTGGAATAAAAGTCCTTGTAGAAACTCTATTATGGCTTTATTTTCAAATAGAATTCAGAATACTGTATATTACTTAAAACATAGCATGTGAATCAAAATGACATTATATTGCAGAAAAAATAAGAGTATTATGCTGTTTTGTACATGGTTTATCACTGGATCTGAACAAATTGCAGGGTTTTTGTGATTGGCTGTGTCTCTAACGTCAGTTGGTTGTCTATGATTGGTTGCAGAGGTTGCAAGCGAAAGTGTTGAAGCTGGTCGACATCTCTTACGGAGGAGAAAACGGCTTCAATCAGGCCATTGAGCTCTCCGCTGAAGTCCTGTCCAACGTCAAATTCATACAGGAGAAAAAGTTGATAGGTAAATATCGATTCTCATAAAGATACATGTATCAGATGAATAAAGTCTGTAACAAGACCACAGTCTAGTTCTGCATTCAGAGATCATTCTGCATGTGCAAACATCCGTGGGTCTTTAAAAAGTTTTACATTTAGTTTGATAACATTTATGGAATAATAAAAGTCTAAATTATCCTTTCAAAAGGTCTCAAATTTGGGTATCGTGATACAGCCTAATGTGAATATTAAACTTCAAAAGGTGACGATTGAATGTGTTAAATGTGAGCGCTGCTGGTATCAAAGTCAAAACGCGTCATTTCAAAATAAGAGTCCTGGGGTATTTCAGACTTGTTTATAATTAAAAGTTCTGCATTATAATTTTTTTCCCCTGGTTATTATTGGCATTTTTTGTTACACAATAAACGTGCTGGCGATTAATTCAATGTAAACTAGCTTCTTTCTGAGCTGATCGTCACAGGAAGGAAAGACTAAGAACATTATTATTATTCATAACACATTCATTGTACAGATTTGACTAGTTTCATTACAAAAAATATTTGTATTGCCTTTCTTTAAACATATTATCATCGTATCAGCAAAATTCAATATTGATCGACCTCTAATTCGTATGTATTGATATATTAGTACATAAGCCGATTCCAATTATACGTTATAAGATTTTGAATAAAGCATTTCTTCGGTATTTTTAACCTGCAATTGAATGCGTGTCTGTTTATTTAAAGACAAATAAAAGATGCAAGATGATTTATTTTTTATTTGTCAGTTTTAGTTTTTATTATTTCAGTTAGTAGTCTAATTTTTTTTCATCTAATATTAAGTATTATGGTTTTGATCTAATTTTTTTCAATTAACAAAAACGTTTTACTAGTTTTAGTTAATAAGAACCCTGGTTCTTCTTATGATGTACACCAGATCTTCTCATTTCTCTCTGGCAAATTCGACTCTTCTGCTACCCTGTTTTCTTTAGACATTTTAAAAGACAATGTAGGATGAAGCTTGTGAAAATCTTAAGGAAATGTTTCACAAGTTTGTTACCCGAAGTGTGTCTGAAAGCATTGACTGTGGCGTTGTCTGTCTGTCTCAGGGCGATACTTCGACGAGATCAGTCAGGACACAGGGAAGTATTGTTTTGGCGTGGAGGACACACTGAAGGCGCTAGAAATGGGAGCCGTTGAGATTCTCATTGTCTATGAAAATTTGGAGACTATGAGATACGTCCTGAGATTGCATGGCGCAGAGGTCACCGACTCGGAGAACGGTACATGAACACACACATGGGATTGGTCGAGAATCTTACACACACGTTACAAACACAGTCTCAGATTCAATCAAGATCCTTTCCTGTTCCTGTCAGTCAGCACGTGTATAGCAGTTCAAATAAGCTGTGATTAAATCACTTCAGGAATTATAATATGGACACATTCGTTCCTGTTATCTGATTGGTCAGTCCAGTCTTCCAGTGATGATGTAACGATTATATGTGACTATATCACTGTTATTTAAATATCATTGAGATACTGTTATAGTTTTTAATTAATAAAATAACCTTAGTTTTTTTTTTCCAGTTTTTTAAATGTCTATATAGATCTTTATAATTTTTTTTTATTTCAGTTTTACTTTAATGCATAAAGGTAACAATTAAAATGTGAAATTGCTGATTTTTTTACGTTTTTTTTTTTTACCATATTGGCAGTTTTTTACAATAAGGTTTCATTTGTTAATATTAGTTAACTATACAATTTTTCATGAACTGATAATGAAAAACGCTTCTAAAGCATTAATTAATCTTAGTTAATGTTAATTTAAATATTTACTAATACATTATTAAAATGATTCCATTATTATTATTTCATAGACACAAACTAACAATGAGGAAGTATAATGTGTATTATGTTGACAAATATCAATAAATACTGTAACAAATGTATTGCTCATTGTTAGTTAATAATGCATTAACTAATGTTACCTAATCAGACCTTATTGTAAAGAACTATATTCACTGTTTCCTCTTGTCCCGTATAACTCTGTGTTGAAGTGTGTTCGGTGTAAACACGAGTTTTAAACTTGCATTCAGTGTTTGTTTACTGCAGGTTGTGTCAAGCGGAAGTGTTTTCTTTAATGTCTCCTCACTGTTGTGTGTTTCAGATGAGAAAGTCATTTATTTGACCCCTGAACAAGAGAAGGACAAGTCCCACTTCATAGACAAAGAGGTGTGTGTGTGTGTGCTTGTACGACTATCTTTGTGAGGACCAGTTTGAGTTTTAGACCATTGGAGTGAGGACAAAGAGAGTAAAGTGAGGACATTTTGGCCGGTCCTCACTTTCTGAGACCCCTTTAAAGGCCTGTTTGAGGGTCAAGACTTGGTTTTAGGGATAAGGTTATAATTAGGTTAACCTGTTAAGCTTCAAGCCCATTTTTGAAAAATCCCCAGATATGGCATTCCCAAACTGAAACAGATACAGTTCATGAACCCTTTGTACTAAAAGCACAAGTAAGATCTCATTTGAAAGCTGACACCTGGAAGTTTATTGTAAATGTAGAATTAATTAGTCATAATGAAAAAAAATAGTTATAAATAGCTTCAAAGTTTTGTAAAGTTATTATACATTTATTTTTATGAAACATCTTCATGAAAATAAAATTGAAGTTGGCATTGTAGCAATCTAGAAATGCACTGCAGCTAAAGCCACATGTCTAACCATGTTATATTTAAAATCTGAAGATGATAAGTCTAAAACTCTGTATTTAGTTCAATGTTTTTCAAGATCATGTCATATGACTTTATTTTGATTAGACTGGTGTTTATTGTCATCTTATAAGCATCTATTCAGTCTATTGCCTCTATTGTTTTGTGATGCAAAAACGAGTCCCATTCAGTCTCAGGCTCCCCTGCACATATTCACACCTCTCCAGCCTGTTTATTGCTCTAAATATGCTTTTCTTTTGTCTGCATTATAATCACTAACGACTAGCAATTCACACTGTTTCAATCCCTCATTTATTTTATAAAAGTTCTCACTTCACAGTGAAACTGTATCAAATGGCCTTTTTGAAAAACGAAACATTTCAGTAAGCATTCTTATTTAGAAAAAAAATCATAAAAATTACATCGAAGTTAGGTAGCAGGTGCTCAGTACTAGCTAGCATGTTAGCTTAGCACACCATCAATACACGACAATTTATGAGAATAAAACTATGTTTGTGCTCCAACTTACTTTATAGCGCAAGTCGAGTGTTTTAAATAACTTTCTGTAATCTGATTTGGCTTCAGATAAAAAAATCAGATAGAAAATATATTATTTTATTGTATTCTGCACAATTTGAAAGTCTATCTCGATTAGCATTACATTATACATATAATCTATTATTATGAAAATACCTGACATGACTCGAAGAACACAGGTAAATCAAATATCATTGCAATCATGTTTATTGTCTTCAAAACATCTTTATCTGCACTTTACAGCGATCTCGGATAGCTTTGTTTATGTGTCAGGACTTCCTGAATGTCACATGATTATGGCTCTTCTTCATGTGATCCATATATGGACTTTACTGTGCAAACAGCGCCCTCAGACTTCAGTATGAATGGATAACACAACTGTACATCAGAGTATACAGCGCTCAAAATGATTACATCGACGCATTTGGGTATAAATTCAATAAATATTATTCCTGTCTATAGAAGTCTGATGTAAACCTATGAGAATCTATCAATATTTCTCCAAATCTGCACATGTTTGAGCTAAAAGCCCTGAGGGACGTTGTTTTGTGAATCGCTGTCATGACGATCGCACGGGAGTTTTTTTCTGAATGAGAGCAGCTGACGCTCATAATTCATATTAAAGGTAACGACTCATTTTTGTATTTCATAACTCCTGACACAAATTAAGACATAACTGTCACTATAAGTTTCACAGAATACAATAGTGGTCAAATACTGAAACTTGAGTCTTATATCGTTTTAATGATGTATAGTTTGTCAAGTTAATCACATTAAATATGATAGTAACTTTGAACTATTTAAAAAAAAAACGCTTCAGAGCGCCCACGCACTGGTGACGGTTAACAGGTTAAGGGTAGGTTTAGGGTAAGGGTTCGGGTTAAGCACTAAGTTGTGATGAGTAAGGTTTGGGTAAGCGGCTAGAGATTGCATTGTGTCAATGAATGTCCTCATAAAGATAGATGTACAAGAGTGTGTGTGTGTGAGAGAAAGGTCGCGATTAACCACCCTAACACTGTTACACAGTTGATAGCCCTAGTCATGTCTAACAGTGTATGGACAGGTATGATGTTTGCTGTGCCACTGATCACGTGTTTGCTTTGTGTGTGTGTGTGTGTGTGGTTCAGACGGGTCAGGAACACGAGCTCATCGAGGTCATGCCGCTGCTGGAGTGGTTCGCCAATAGCTATAAGAAGTTTGGAGCCACTCTGGAGATCGTGACTGATAAAAGTCAGGAGGGGTCGCAGTTCGTCAAGGGTTTCGGAGGAATCGGAGGTGACACTAAATCTGGATTTATTTCATTTGTTTCTGTTTTTTGGTGATATTCATCATGTCAGGTGTTGATATAGAATCATATTCTTGTTAGTTTTTTGTTAACAAAATGTGTTGCTCTCTCAGGTATTTTGCGGTACCGAGTGGATTTCGTGGGGTTGGATTACCAGGGAGAAGAAGATGAGATTTTTGACTTGGATGACTACTAGGTAGTCGAGACCAAGTTTGAGAGAAATAAGTGCAGATTTGAGGAATTCTAGAAAGAAAAATATCTCTTTCTTACCGAGAACCTGTGCACTCAATACTAAAAAAAAAAACAGACAGTTTCAGAAGAGAAGTGTGTCGTCTGTCAATCAAGTGAACGACAGAGCCATTCATGAATAATTCATGAAGCCCCGCCTTAGAGCATTCTGATTGGACAGGACTCATTTTGTTTATTCTCTTCCCATTTGAATTAAATTCGTAAAAATATCTTTCAGACTGTTTGGACTCATTTTGAAATGTTTCTTTTTCTTTTTATCCTCTGTTTTCTGTTCTCCCCCCCATCTTTTTCCACCCTAAATCCACCACTAGTTCTCTTCTTTTGAGTTTTTTTTATTGGCAATTGCTGCTGCTGTATTTTATGACAGTGTGGTATTTTTTACATGGGTTTATGTAAGGAATGGGGGAGAAACAAAATAAATTTGAAAATGCTGAAACTTCTCTGTGTGTCCTGTTTTACTTTTGACCGATCTGTATTTGCAATTATTCTCTGAAATCTCACCTTGTGTTTCTAGATTATTACGTTTCATGATTAATGGAAAAATTTGAATAATGTTTTGGTCCCTGACTATAAGAACACTATTGCAAAGACTTTTCTCATTATTATTATTATTATTTCATCAGCTAAGAAATACAATGGCTACTGGCAGTTGACCAGTATGGGTTAAAACAGCCTATGTTAATGCTGTTATTTAAATGAATGGTGGCTGAGGGCCGATTGTAATATCGATACATGGGCCTGACACTAGTAAAATAGAAGAGAAGTGAGTTTCCTAGTGGGGGGAGAAAAAAAGTAAAAAATAAAATTTTTATTAAAATAAATATAAATAAGTAATAAAAATAGTTTTTCAAAATGAAAATTAAAGGAAATTTAATATCTAATATTATCATACTACAGTGTTAAGAAAAAACAGTAGGAACAATTTTATAGATTCAAATGTTTAAATGTTTATCTGCCTTTCAAATTCTATATGATTTTTTTTTTATTCTAAATGATTTCTGTAAATCCAGTGATCAGGCTGTGTGGGTCTCAGTGTTTTTTTTTTTGTGTGTGTTTGTGTGTGTTTGTCTGGTCTGTGTGTGCAATTCCACAAACCTGGAAGACCTTTTGCAGTAGATTTTTAGAAAGGAAAAATTAAAAGATAAAGGTAAGGAGAATCAATGAATTATGAATAATTTACTGTCATCATGAGAGTAACCTGTAATTAATAAAAGAAGTAACTGTCCTCTGATCTCAAGTATTTTAAAATGTAATATAATCAAATTACAAGTACTTCCTTTATTGAATGGGATTACGTAATCCAGATTGCATGTAATCAGTTAAACTACCCAGCCAGCACTGCAAAATGACTGGCGAGCCAGAATTAATATTAATAATATAAATGAATTTGGCAAGACTGATAGATATAAAGAGGTCTGTGGGCTGATTTGTGTGTTTGTTTTTCTCACTCTCTCTCTACTGATGGGGAAAGACCCAACAACAGAAGTAGCCAATCACCACAAACGTCCTCTCATCTCCGTTTGAGAATATATATATACGTATACATATATATTACAAGCAGCAAATTAAAACAGACAAAATTGTATATATTTATATTGTATATATTATATTTATAAATATTTATAAAATAACACACACACATATATATAATTAAATAGAAAGTAAATGTAAAATAATATATTTGATGAATACATGTAAAGCAAATGCTCTTGTGCGAAGCTGTGGAGTAGGACTCTTATTCTGCTTTAATGCCATTGATTCTCCATGTTGTGAAGGTGTATGTTGTTTCTGTCTTCACTCGGGTTCACGGACGGGTTTCCATTTTCACGGTTGGATTCAACCAGAACAACAATAATAATATGGATCCGGAAATGGAGGACAAAACCCTGGAGCTGATGGTACGTGAGGACCAACAAATAAGACACTGTCTGAATATATGATAACGTTACTCGTGCTGCTGGTGTGGATGTTTGTTTTTATTGTAATGCAGTATCACGCGGGCTAGAGAGAGAGAGAGAGAGAGAGAGAGAGAGGGAGAGGGAGGAGGACAAAAACACAACAGCGGCCCGAATCGATATAAAACATTCGACTGTTATCATGTTGCGCTATAATGGTTTATTTTAGTTTGGTCACTAAAGCGACTTTCCGCTCTCGGTTTGACGAGTATATCGCGTATGAATGTCGAGGAAGCGTTTGCGTTTCGCTGGAGGATCGGACAGTCATTGCGGCACCGCTGCGTCATATATCACATATATCATATCTCTAATCCCTATATGCGCTTCATATGGCATAAACATGCACTTGATGTGTTGTGCCAGTCTGTTTGACGTTCATGTATTGTACAATTAATCTTTATATAGCAATCAATAGGCGCTTCACATATCATATATAGTCTGTATAAGCTCTGTTTGCATCATTGAATCATTTTCCTGTTATTGTAAAACTGCTTTGAAACAATTTGTATTGTGTAAAGCGCTATATAAATAAAGGTGACTTGACTCGAGCTTCAAATAATGAACAGTCTATATGCGCCTCATGTATTATAAATGAGCTACATATATCACTCAGTCTATATGGGCTTCATGTATTAAATAATCTATATGCGCTTCATATATTAAACTATATGCTCTGCATTTATTAAACAATATATATGAGCTTCATATATCACGTATAGTTTAAATGAGCCTTATTTACTGTATCAAGTCTATATATGCACTTTGTATATTCAACCTTCTATATGTGCTTCATATATTAAATGCTATAATTCATATATTAAATAATCATATATAGTCTATACAAGCTTAATTTATTAAACAATCTAAATGTGCTTAAAATATGAAATAATCTATATATTAAACAATCTGTATGTGCTTCATGTCACAATCTAAATGCGCTTCATATGAAATAATCTATATGTGCTTCATACATTAAATGATCTATATGTGCTTCATATATTAAACGATATATATGTGCTTCATATATTAAACGATATATATGTGCTTCATATATTAAATGATCTATGTTTCATATATCACATAGTCTATGATCTTCATATATCACATGCAGTGTTTATAAGCTTCATATATCATTCATAAAATCATTACACCGTTTATATATGCTTCATTTATCACAGTCTACACATTTACATGTGGTTCATGTATACAGTAGCTCACAGTGTTGTGAAAATCGCTATCCAAATAAAATCAACTTCACAATCTACATGCTGAATCCAAATCTACAGAATCTGTTTATGCTTCATATACCCCTCACAACATACAGTATATGCCCTTCATTAACTATGTAAACATTCCAATATGTTTTTAATGCCACTTATGTGTCCCATATGTCATCATATACAGTATGTGTGTGCAGAATATTTCTATTATAGTCTATATATTCTATAGACGTACTTCATATATAACATAATGTGCATCATGTTACACAGGCTATACATGCCAAAGTGATGATATTGTGCATGTGCATAAAACATCTACTAAATGACTAGTTAGCAATGTTTACATTATTTAGTTACCAAACTACATGTCTGTCCCCTAATAAGTCAACTGCACAGCTGACTCTAGCGTATATAAAGGATGCAGAGGGCGTAACCAGCTCAGTCTCTCCAGATCTGTCACGATTATGCTGATCTTCATCTTGGCTCATGTTAGGTTAAGCTCAACAACACCCTCTCTGTTAGGCCACAGCTGCCTGGAGAAACACTGCCGGGTTTGTTTTGAATGGGATTTAGAGTTTATTCTTTTATTACAGGTTGTGGATACAGATCTCTGAACAGTTATTATTAGTTTGGGAACTGGTAAGACATGAAATGGCCAAATTGACTCACTTCAATTTAAGGATTAAATAACCAATTTGATCTAATTAGCTTGATTTATATTGTTTTATAAATTGAAATAATATGAATTATTAATATATGAGACATTTCATGTCAACTCAACCAGAGGTCCCCGCCTCCCCAGCAAAAAAAAAGAAACAACCAATGTGGTATGTTGTATATGCAGTTGTTTTAATAGAGGGAAACAAGATACTATTCTAGTTTCAGTATTATTTGTTCTTCAGACACTCTTCTTTAAACAGAATAACTATAACCAGCTGTTTGTTTGTTTTTTGACCATTTAAAATGGATAAAATTCAACATTTTGGACATGGAGTTGCATTTGGATCCCCATATATATGGGACGGAACCATATAGGGCCTTAAAAATGAAGATTACAAAAGAAAAGTTTACCAAGAATGAGAATCTAGAAGGCTATTGAGATATCTTTAATACTTTTAGAGTTACGGCCACGCAAACTTTGGAAAAAGACTATTTATGGCACTCAGACGGGTCTAGTCTGCAATGGTGTTGATAGAAAAAAAATGAGATACATTTCTGGTTTCAACATTATTTGTCTTATATGTAAGAAAAAAGTATCAACGTATGCAAAGCGACCCACATTTGGATTTTGACCACTGAAAATGTGCACAATTTACTCATTGAAATCCCCATAACTCTGGAAATGAACCATATTGGGCCTTAAAAATTTAGATACCAAAAGAAAAGTATGTTAAGAGATCTTTAATACTTCTTGAGTTACATGCATGCAAACTGCGGGCAAAAAAAACACACATTTTTTTTCCCCATTTTTGAACTGACACTGTTGGCATATAATGCAACAAACATAGCTAAAGTTTAACAGATTTTACTAATAAAAGTAAAATAATGATGCTGCCGTCTTTTTAAAGTCACTTTTACTCCCTTGTAAGTTACCCCTCCTCAAATCTCAGGTGAAATGTGTTATTTTGACCCCCCAACAAAATAGTGGATTACTTAGTAAATGCACATCCATAACATTTCATATTTTGGCTTTCTTCTTCATTTATGTATTTCTTTCACCAGAAAAAGATCAAAATAAAAAAAAAATTGCCAGGGAAGTTTCTGAAATTTGATTGATTTGACACGGAATGACCCATATTATATTAATAATTATCACATAATATAATATTAATAAGTAATAAATAAATCTAAAATGTAAAAATCAGCATATTAGAATTATTCCTGAAAGATCATGGCCATGGCCGTAGCCAGCTATGAGGTCACCGAGGTCCGGACCTCGGTCATTTTTTTTACATTCAAAAATAAAATGTCAAGCTCTCTGAATGATTAATTAGCAGTGTTTAAACCACCTCATATGAGTGTTTGCAATTCATGTTGCTGCGAGAAGCTGGCGCAGTGAACTGAACGGGGCTTGAGAGCGCGTTGTGAACGCGGGTGCAGCCTCCGTGTTGCCAGATCCACCTAATAGAAAGGTGGCAGTAGTCACCTGTTTTTCTGATTTAATGTGACACTTTAGGAAGTTATTAATGTGGAAAGGTTTAGTGATATATTAACCTTATTTCCAAAACACAAGCTTTGAACTTATTTCGGATTATTATTATTATT